TGTACGAAGACTTGCGTGGAAATCATACTAAAACATTGCATACGCACAAAGCTGTAAATGTGCATACGCAGAAAAAAATTCAGATGTATGAAACACTGCGTACGCCGAATCCCACGCATATTCTTTTGTACATCAGAATGAACGTGAAACTGAGCGCAACATGCACAAGCACAAAACCCCTCCCTGCCTCCTCCCCCGTATGAATATGCTAATGACTCTACTTTGGCAAAACCCAACGAAAAAGCAATGGCAAAAGCAAGCAAGAAGAGAAACTTTGAACAGACTGTGAATGTGAAAGACACTTTGTAGAGTGCAATTTAACACAACTGCCTCTAGGAGTCGCCAATGGAAATAAAACAGACACGCACAAAAAATGTGCGTACGCCAGCCATAAAGCTGGCGTGGAGCTGCGCACATTCCCACGTTCAGTTCATCGTTAGTAAATCCAAACGTGAGCGATTCTGAGCGTGAAACCTGTCGTACGCAAAGTTTTTGTGCGTACGCAGTGTTGATACATGAGGCCCACGGTGTTTTAGATCATACTTCAGTGCAGTGTTTCGAAACACATGCACTGAGGGATCTCGACACTGTGTTGAAACGCCTGTTTAGCGCCAACCATCCCAAGTCTAGTCTAGTCTTGCCATACTTTTTGATCATTGCTTCTTGTTTATGCTGTTTGCTGCCTGCACCGACCTCTCGTGACCATGACTACTCTGGATTACTCTAATGCTAATGTTTGTTCCTGTTTGGCCATTACCTGCCTGACTAAGCTTTCAATTAACTACTTGTGGATCCTCAACTCTGTTGTCCAGCATCCAAATGTTACACTTTATATTTCCACAAACAGTGGTTCTCCGTGACTGCTGTCTTTTAATACTAGTCTAGTAGAAGCAGAGTCTTTTTGTTGGTTTTGTTTGTTTTGCGGTCATGACATTGAAAAAACCTTTTTGGTTTGCCAAAGAATCCTTTAGTAAATTGTTCTTGAAACAACTAAGAACGTCTTTTAAAAGTCTTGTTTGTATATCAATCTCCGTCTTCTTGATATCTTTTAGTCTGAAGAGTATCTTATCTTGGCATTTCCTATTGTTGCTTATCATTTCGCATTTAAAGTCCAGCTGTTCAAGAATAGCTGTAAACAGTCTTGGCACTCCTTCAGGTCTAGTCATGCGTGTTGAACTGCTTTTCTGTAGATTTTAATAAAACTGTAATTAGGATTAGATAAAAACCAATGGGTTATTCCAGAACGCTATGAAAAGAAAGTTATGTGACATACTCTGATAAGTTGAAGTTTTATGTAAGCAGACTACCTCAGCATTTGGTTCCAAAATTGGAGGTAACTTTCAGGGTATATAGGGGTATAAGTTCTATACGCTCTCAGACATAAAGGTACACGAGCTGTCACTGGCGTGGTACCTTTTCAAAAGGCACCAATTTGTACCTTAAAGGGCCATATTAATACCCCAAGGGTACATATTAGTACTTTAAAAGTACAAAAGTGTTCCTCTTAAAATTTTTAGGAACTAATATATATTTTCAGGGTATTAATATGGACCATTCAAGTACAAATGTGTACCTTTTGAAAAGGTACCACCCTAGTGACAGCTCGTGTACCTTTATTTCTGAGAATGTAGTAACTTGTGCTCTTTGCGTTTGGTTTCCATGGGGTTCCATGTTGAGAATGTCTTTCATGTTGAGTTGACTGGGCTCCTAGTTTTGGAACCAACTTTGAGTAAGAACGTTTAGGGTTAGTAAACCAAGAGTTCAGGTTAACTTCAGATAATATAACCTTGCTTTCTGGAATACACATTAGTTGGATAACGTTGTATATTGCTGCGCATCAATGGATTTGCTCTTCAGTGTTTAGACTTACAGGGGGGAAATTAACCACAGTCTTGTCCATTGATAGCTAAAAGAAAGGATTTTAGCTTGTGCAGTGAGTGAACAGAGTCTTCTCTACATGATGCAATCCCAGATCTGCATGCAGAACAAGTGGAATGGGTGATCTGCTAAGTAAGAGAATAAATTTAAATTGCACTTTAGATTTGCACTTTCAGATTTAAAACTTAAGAATGGAATGGAAAAGCAGTCCATGTTACTCCCCTCACCACCACCCCCTAAAAAAACATTCAGTTTGCCCATTCATCATCCTCAGGCTGGAGTGCAAGGTTGGACACTGTCCTCTGGGAATACTGTGAGAATGTGAAGTCTGGTTTGCGCACAGCAAAGGAGAAGAGCTTTAGGGGTGCGCAAGAAAAGCTGTACAAGAAGCTTTGATGTTTTTTTATTTATTAATCATTGTGGATGATGTATAGTTATTTAGAGCCCAAGTCTAATTTTAGGCCAACTGTGTCACATATGAAACCAGACAGAACTTTTTCGTTTTGAATGTGCGTCTTGAGTGGGTCGAGGCTCTGGGAGAGTGATGACCTGTCACCCCAAAGAGGAGGGGGAAAAACATGGCATTTCGCATTTTACCATGAAAAAAACAATGTTTGATCAAAGAAAGGATATGGGATGTTGTAAGTGGAAATGTTGTGGGCCTTGGCTTGTCATCAGGAAAAATACCAAATGAGTCGGGTCAAAGCCGTGCACAGACCAAGAAAAACAATACGTCACGTACTTTAGGTTATTTTGGATGCCCTATTAAAGGAATAGTTCACCCAGAAATTAACATTCTGTCATCATTCACCCTTGTTCTGAACTCATTTGATTTTTTTCTACTGGGTGTGAAACACAAAAAGTGAATTTCTACAGAATATAGTTTGTCTTTTTTTTTAAAGCAGAATTTTGGCAGCTGAAGCAGACACAAAATATTATTTAAAAAAATGCACAATTTAACCTTTCAAAAGTTTCCAAACATCCTATCTGGGTCCAATTAGAACTGTTATCCTAAAGGTTTTTCCTTCATCTCAGCTTCCAATAAATAGTAGAATTGTCTCGGACAGTTTAGTAGTGACCAATACTATTAAAATATGTGTTACTTTTAGGAAAAACTTTGGGCTAATAAGTTCATCCACACTAGCACCTATAGTGACTAATGTATCTTTTTTTACCATCGCGTTCTGATTCTGTTTTTTTGTGGCTGGTCTTCTAAAGGCCTCAATACCATTAGGGACTTGTAAGGTCTGTTTTTGTTATTTTCAGATTTGTCTGAAAAGTTTAATCTTCCCAAAACTCACCCTTTTTTTTTTGCTTCTTTTAGATAAGAAATTTTGTACGAAATCAGTTTACTCATTTTACTAATCTTCCTCCTGATTCAAAAATGGGCACTATTCTTTCTTTTAACCCAAACAGAAAAGAGACAGTCTCTATTATCTATCGGTCAATAAACTATTTGAATTCTGATTCCTCTGATTTACCTAAGAATACCTGGGAACAAGAGTTGGGATCACCATCAGTGAAATAGAATGGAATTATATACTCAATTTGTGCACAGACAGTTCTTCTATATGTGCCCGAACCAGTTTAATGCAATGCAAGATTTTTCACAGAGCACACTAATGCCAGATTAGCCAAAATATATCCGAATAAAAGTAATACTTGAAATAGGTGTGAACAATCTCCAGCAAATCACACACATATTTTAGTCTAAAATATTCGATACTTTTGAAAAAAACTTTTAACATATCAGCCACTCCAAACCCTCTAACAGCACTATTTGGAATTCCTTTTGGGCCAAATTTGCCCTCAACAACACAGAACGTTGTGGTTTTTTCCACATTATTGACTTGGAGACTTATTCTCCTTAAGTGGAAACAAGCATCTCCACTTTCATATGACAGTGACAGATAGATAAAAGATTTTTTTGTTTGTTTGTTTAAAGTTGGGAAAAATAGGTTTTCATTAGGAGAGTCTTTAAAATCTTTTTACAAAGCATGTAACTCTTTGTTGAATTTTATTGACACTATTGATCTTGAAGCAGTAGAGGAATAAAGTTTTTTATTTTTATTATTATTAATTAATTTATTTTATTGTTAGTTTTTTTGTTGTTTATTTATATTTATTTCATAAATTTTAAATTAGCATTTTAAAAATTAATTAGATTTTAATGACATTTAGCAAACAAAAGTATAAAGGCAATAACAGTACAAATAGAAAAAAGCATATAACAGTAAAAAATTTATTAAAAGAATAAAAATAAATCACGCTATAAACCTCATATTGAGCATATAAACAGGACGGTACCGGAAGTTGAGGTTGACGGCATGGTGTATTAAGTAAAATATTGGCAATCATTCACTCCACAGTAACTGCCTCAAGTCTCAGAAATCTGTCATGCATTATTATTATTAAAAGAAATGTTTACAAACTGTGGGAGTTTTATAACTATATTGTTTTTTATGATCAATGATTCTTAGTAGAACCGTGAAGTAGAACAGTGTATTATTTATTTTTGTATCATATTGTATCTGCACAAAATGTTATTAAATACATTTGGCTAAAAATTTGTTATATTAATGAAATACTCAGTTCCAGTTTGTATTAGTTAACTAATACAAATTATTCAGAGAAAACCTGTCATCGAAGATGTTCTCTAAATCGAGTCATGACAACATTTGTGATAATAGTGCTGTAATTGATAAGGAGGACAGCAATATAATGCAATTATAACATATCTTTAAACAGAACAGTTTTGTTCGAATTATTTTAGCCTATTTCGACGTAATTTCAGAGGATACATATTGAAAATGATCTACTGACCAGTAGTTTAACAACATTTTCGCGGTCTTTCACTCTCTCACGCATAATGTCGTGTAAAACAGTCATTCCTGCTGAAGTCAGGTGCCAAATGTCATTATTATGATGACTGGTACGGGATTAGGTCATTCTGCGTGACTTAACCCAGTAATTTCCCTCACTGCGGATGCCTGTGTAATAACATGCGTGGAAATGAAAACACAAACATCAGAGGATGCTCGCGCACGTGCGCGCTTCATCACCACCGTCTGAAATATTAGCGCGCGCACACACTTTCCAAACAAACACAAATTCAGAACTATCCAAACACAGACGACGGGACGTTCATTCGCTGCCTGGAAAAAACAGAAATGATGATGTTCCCGCCCAGAGTGTGAGGGAATGTTAAGGAAAGGCGCATTCAGAGTTTAGGATCGCTAACACGCAGGTGAAATATTTAAAAAAACAACAACCTGACAGCACTTCGTTTTAACTTCAAAAACTTGGATATATTTTAAAAAGGACTCTAAAGGGCTTTTATTTGAGAAAGCGGAGAAACGTCAAGGATAAATCATTTCAGAAGCCTGATCGTACTGTTGGAAGTTTTTTTTCCTCTACAAAAACCTTTAAGTTGTTTTGAATTATGTAGAAACCCAAGATGAGCATCTCGCAGGACAAATAATCGGTAAGCCTGTTTTATCACCTCATAGTTAATGTGTTATAAAAAAAAAAAAGCCTGTGGGCATTTATAAGCTGAAGAAAAATAAAACTATTTAGCCGTAATAAAACATTGATAATAATTTGGCATTGATTTGAATCATAATTTAGTTTACTTTCCATGGTAGGGACCATAAAGTTATAAGGATAGTTATAAACTATGGCATGTCGTTTATTTTAGTTACAATTTAATATGCTACTTAAAGATTTATGATTACATGGTCACAACAACGAACACATATTTACAAAAAGTCTAGTAGAGTATTTAGGTGGAAGTCATAACAGTTCAAAGTGCAATGTGGGAATGTTGGTAAATTAACTTTTTGTTGTCTTCATCCTAGACGTTAACTTAAGATGAAGTTTAAATAAGTATTGTAGTAGTCACTGTAAGACAGATATATGTAGGCTATTATACAGTATTGTCATTTAGGTTATCTGATTGTGAACTTCATTATACCACCTCAGAACAAAACTCATGTTTTACTTCAGGTTCAGAAACCTAAAACTGCCAGCCAGTCCCCAGGCTCTTTATTTGGCTTGTTTGAGATCATTTGTTTAGGTTTTCATCATGTTTCCCTCTGCTTAGATAATCTGAAAATAAACGACTAGCAAACCTAAAGGTTTAAATGTTTTCTTCAGGCCAAAATTTCCAGAGAGACTATGACATTTTATTTGTCTTTTTTTTGTAATTAGGTCCTCCATGAGTCATTATGTGTGAAGCAGTGGATCCCTTGTCCAACTTCACTGGAAGCTGCTAATCGACGCCATCTGCTGTTCAAAAGCGGACTTGGAGAGCGTGTGGAAAATGGATGACGAGCTTGAACCTGGAATGAATGATGTTATAGTTAGCCACTACAACCACTCAGGCAAGTGGGGAAGACCAAGAAGCACTGGTATGTGTAAGACGGCCTTCCTGATGTGCATCTGTGCTCTGATCGTGATTGAGAACATTACTGTCCTTCTGGCACTATGGCGCAACAAGCGCTTCCACAGCCGCATGTACTTTCTCATCGGCAATCTGGCACTTTCTGACTTGTTAGCTGGAGTGGCATATGTGGTCAACATCTTCACCTCCGGCCGTAATACCTTTTTCCTCAGCCCTGGCCAGTGGCTGCTGCGAGAGGGGAGTATGTTTGTGGCACTTAGCGCTTCGACTTTTAGCTTGCTCGCTATTGGGATTGAGCGCCACATGACGATGGTTCGTTTGCGGCCTTGTGAGACCGCAGGAAGGGGAAGGTTACTAGCTCTCCTGGGAGCCTGCTGGGCAGTTTCAGTTCTCTTGAGTGCCTTGCCAAGCCTCGGTTGGAACTGTTTGGACCGAGTCCACACCTGCTCCACTGTCCTACCACTGTACGACAAAAGCTACATAGCTTTCTGCATCAGTGTCTTCACAGCCCTCCTAGCAGCAATTGTAGTCCTCTATGTGCGCATCTACCAACTTGTGACATCTAGTGGGCGAAGAGTAAGTTCTCGTCCATCAGATCGGTCGCTCGCTCTTCTGCGCACAGTAGTGATAGTACTAGGGGTTTTTGTGGCATGCTGGGCTCCTCTTTTTTCACTACTGCTGCTTGATGTGGGATGCAGTCCAGAGCAGTGCCCGATTCTCTACAAGGTGGACTGGTTCATCGCTCTGGCTGTGCTCAACTCTGCTCTCAACCCACTGATCTACACGTTTTCCAGCAGAGAAATGCGAACTGCTTTCCTCCGTGTGCTGTGCTGTTGTCAAACCTCACTGGACTCTATGCCAACAGTGGCAGGGACGGCACTTCCGGGAATAGTCATACATACCGCAGAGAACAGCAAATCTAGCATGGCTGGAGCAGGTAGTGGTGCAGCCAAGTCATCATTAATGCAAAGTAAAGTTCCCACTCCGTCAAACTCCCACCATCAGGATCCTTCACAAACGGCTGTCACACACTCCTCAGGCCCAGGTAACCTGCTATCTGCGGTGCTGGTTAAAGCTGGGGCTCTTCCCGCTTTGGGGAAGTTCTGAACTACGACACTACCGGAATCAGCTCAAAAGAGCAGGGATTTAGTTAGTCCTAAGACGTTTGGCGATGGTTCCTCTGTAATCATGAGCTAGTCTTCAGTTCCTTAAGGATTACAAAGCTTTTCTACAAATGAGGTTTCAAAAGGACAACAGACTTGACTGAACAAATGCTGACCAAAGGATATAGAAACTGAATTAACGTCTACGTGTATTAATATTTATGAGCATGTGCAATGAGCACCTAACAGAGCCACTACAGAATGTAATCATTTGAAAAGCTTAGGTGTGCAATCTTTTTGGTATTAAAGTAAACCAATTTGCAAAACGGTATATTAGCTTTTCATGAAGATGAAAATGCCTTAACAGTATTATCTGCATTATTTTAGTACTTCGTGCGTATGACTGACCTAACATATTCTCACTAGACAAAAACATTTGGAATAGTTTGCTGTTACACAAGCTAGCTGTAATACTCCTATCACATAACAAACTGAGAGTTTTTTAGACTGTGGATCAGGGGTGTCAAAACTCAGTCCTGGAGTCCTGCAGATTTTAGCTCCAACACATCTGCTAGGATGTTTCCAGAAAGCCTGAAGAGCTTGATTAGCTAGCCCAGGTGTTTCTGATTGGGGTTGGAGCTAAACTTTGCAGCACACCGGCCCTCCAGCACTGAGTTTTGCCACCCCTGCTGTGGATGTTTACGGATAATATTCTGTGGAGCAGTTTACAAGCCAGAACGTAGAACGTGGTGGTTTTGTTGTGAATGTGTTGACATTTTGCTTTTGTATCTTACATAATACTGTCATAAGATTTAAAGTGTGGGTTTAATATGTCAGTGTGAAGGACTTGTGTTGAGACTGCCTTGTTTGTGTTACTTTTATTTGGATTAAACCACTAGAGGGAGCTGTAGTATCACATTGAAACACTGCGAATGTGAGGGGAATGCACAAGAGTATTCCGAGCACTATAATTTACAGTCACTTGGTAGATGCATCATGGTAGCATAATAAATGGGTTTGCTTGTGAAAAATCATGATAAATGGCACCAATTTTTGAGCTCTACAGCAGTAAATACCACAGCTGTGCGTAATTGTGCTAGTTTGGGATATTATGGACAGCTCTCTTAAAGGGATTCTGCAGGTTCAATGCAAGTTATGCTATTGTGGTGTAATGTTGACTGTGTGGAAAAACTGCACACCTTTTCTGAAAGTAACACAAACATTAACACTATGAATGCTTTAACAACATAAGTTGAGAGAATGTATCATATAAAATACATGTTTATGAAATTATACACGTTGCTGCATAGTCATACTTGATTAATGAGATAAATGGGAGAGACTGCTAAGTCACATAGGTTTTTGCGTGTAGGGGGTTGGTTCAATGTGAATTTCCTGCCAACACACCCATTATTTCCCGGAGTCTCACATATTTCAGACCCATCTTCAGTCCTGCCACCCTCCCATTTTGTTATCTGTCCCAGAAAACTCCCATAGGACCCCCACCCCAGGTCCTCAGCTATTTGGTACAGTCTGTAACACCCCTCGGTAAGAATGGGACAATAACCGGTTTCAAGGAATACTGCGGTATGGAAAAGTCGAGGTTTTAAAACCGCCAAAATTTTCTGTTATACAGTTCCTAAGATTTGTTTTGGCACCCTATCGGTACCACACCTATTTTATTTAGTTTTTTAGGCAACAGTACAGAAAAAACACAGGTACTCTTACATCGAAAGCTACTGGTCCAAAATATTTTAAATGTTTTTTTAATATACAATATTTTGTGTTCAATGGGGGATTTTTAATTTTTTTTACCCAGACATTTAAAAAGAACCTATTTTTAGCAGTAATCACAATACCGTGATACTGTGAAATTTTTGTGCAAGGTTATCATACCGTCAAATCTTATACCGGCCCATGCCTACCCCAGGGTTGCCAATTTTGGTATAGTATCCGATCACAGCAGCTATCCGAAACCCGTTCCATAGTAGTTACTAACACCACAGTAAAGTTACTAACCAGGTTCTCAGCTGTTTTATTCAGACACCTCACCTCCGATTCTCCCCCCGCCCTCCTCCCGGAATTTTAGAGACAAATGTTGGCAGGTATGGTTACTGTTCACGTTGACAGTATTGTGAGAGCAAGTGACATTTTGTAGAAGAAAGGTTTTCATAGCGTTTGACAAGTGTGACATTTCAAGCAATTTACCATCCTAAGCTGCAGACACAAATTAAGCTGCAGACATTCCTCATAACAGTGAACTTTGCAATCAGGTTGAGAGATAAAATGTAATGTTATTCTCATTTATGAGGCCATAAAACTAATTCTATTGAAAATGTGTATCTTTCGTCCAAAATGGCTGAAATTACCTAAAGTTGTTCAGTATTGCACAATCCCTTTGTGAAGAGATTTCACACAAAATGATTGAAGCAGCGTCAAGAATAAACATCAACAAACAACGACAGCCAAGTGATTCTACAATGCTTAACCTTGAGCAAAAAAGACAACACACAGCGATAAGCCTTATAACAAAGCCTTTGAAGTAAGCACACGCCACATAGAGGACATTAATCCTTTAACATGAGGTATTACACACTCGCCACATACAATATGCCTCTACACCTCACGTAATGAATGGCTTTTTGCCACAAAGGATCAAAGCGCGGACCACTGAGCCATTGTGGATGGCCACTATTGAGAATATTCATTTGTCCGTGTGCTTGTCAGAACTGAAGGGAGTCTCTGTGGCTGAATACATCAGACTGGCACATTGCTTGGCCCAGCACTTGGTGTGAACAATGCCTCCATCTGGACCAACGACTCAGGATGAGCCAATGCAGGAGCACTCAATTGATTTTCTCCCATTCGGGGACCAGAGGTCACTTTTAACAAGCTTTCAAGGGTTGACTGAGGTAGAAGGTGTTTGTGTATACGTGTGTTGCTTGGGAAATGTGCTAGGATCAAGTTCTTGAAGATATAATGGTGTTGTCGGTGCATTTCTGGTCAAAATTAGTAATTGGATCGCCCCATTAGCCCACGATCAGGCTTAATAAGAGAGATCAGGTTTGGCGTAGAACACTCATCATTATCTAAAATTTTGGACTTAGAGGGGAATTTCTTTCCAAATCTTTATGCCTCAGTTTATTTGGAAAGCACAAATGGAGATTGATGTTGGTGGTCAAACCAATGTAAGTCAAAAATGGTCCATAACAACAGTGAATCCCTGTCAGAGTATCACATTTTGTGCAAAGCCCATACAGGTTTGGAACAACATGAGAATGAGAACGTTTAGCATGCCAACTGTTGGTATCATTTGCTAGCACTTATTAGTGCAAGTCAGGATCCAACACCCTTGCCTCCAAATACCAAATACTGATCCAAATTGGATATAAAACCGAGGATAAGATGCTTCAATAATGACAGACTTTGGCGATCTGTTGTTTGCCATGAGCCCAGTCAAATTATTTGCCAGACGTGTGCCAATGAAGGGGTGCCCAAATGATTTGATAGTTGAAGTTAGTTATTTTATAGTGGAATACTAAAATGTATCCTTGTTTTTAACTTTCAGAACTAATGCAAGAACCCTAACTTGTCTACACTTCTACCCTTAAAGAGTGAATATTGGCACAATACAAGGTTAGGTAAAAAGGTGTACCCTAAGATATAGCCCAGGGCAAGCAAAAGCAGGATTGTCCATTCCTGATTAATGACTTTCATAATTATTTATTTGTTTGTTTGACATGAACCTTACAATTATGTTCGACAACTAAATGCATTTGTTTAAGTGTTTTAGCAGACTTGCTAATTCTCAACACCTGTCCACGGGAGGCTTGACAAAATGAAAATATAATAAATACATATACACAAAATTATAATTCTTTAAATAAAATTACTGAAGGCAAAAGCAAAGGCAGCAAGATCAAACAAACTAATAGTAAACTATTTGTGCAAACACTGCTGTTTTGTTTTTAAGTACACTACTAAAATTAATCTTACTTTCTAATTTTAGGCTAACAGGTGAATCATTCCAAAATTTGGCTCCCTTAACAGAGCAAACAGATTGACCAAATGAGGTCTTACACTTTGGCACTAGACAGTAACCATTAGCGGTTGCTCGTGTGACTCTTTGAGAGGTTTGATGCCTACTGATTAGATCTAAACAGCATTGATACATGATAATTTAAACATTTAAAAACCAATTTAAGATGATTAAATTTAATACAACTATCAAAACTAAAAAGGTTGGGTTTACATAAAACATCACAATGATGTCATTGCATAGGCTTTAAGCCCATAATTTTAACTGCTTGTTTATATGGAGACAATAGGCTTTAATGTAGTTAAAGAAGCTTGTGACCATGATGTAATGCAATATGTCAAGTGAGAGAATATCATTGTGTGCATGTATAATTTTGCAATTTGATATGTTAAAAAATCTTCTAATTAAACGAAAACAGTTTAGACTTAAGCTTCTCATATATTTAACATGACTATCAAATTTAAATTAAGGTATAGAGTTATGGCAAAATACACAAATTCGTTCACTTTTTTAATACCTTTATTTTTAATCAGCAATCTGGAAGATCCTTTAAGTACATTGTTAACAACATTGGGCCAAGAACTGACCCTTGAGGTGCACGCATATTTTCAGAACGCACAGATGACTTCATCTCATTGACCCTCACACATTGCTTACAGATTGCTTATGCAGAGTTTAGCTTCAAACCCAATTACATCAATCAAAATCAGCTAATCAAGGGTTTCAGCATCAAAGGAAACTTCCAGGTAAGCATGTTGTCACTAAACTCCGCAGGACCATTGTTCTCCAGAAAAGCTGAGTTGAAGCAACAACAATTTACAAACTATTCAACAGTGTATTTAGGCAATTTGCCACGAGTGAGATCCCAATGGCCCGTTTCCACTGAGTGGTACAGTATGGGTCGCTACAGGTCACCTTTATCAGGCTTGTGTTTTCACTGCTAAAAGGGTACCAACTGTAGTCTTTTGGTGGGCGTTGTGTACGACAGAAAGTTTCAGTCGACATCATTCTCACTCGAGGTAATGTCAAAGCAAAGCTGTACGGGTTGTTCACATCACATGAGAAGCACTTCTCACAAAACAGATGCTTTATACACATAAATACTTGTGTATAAATATTCATTACTAATCTTACAATAAACATGATTTGATTATAACTGCAGATAGATGATGCAAAATAGCCTACTGTAACGTCTGCGATTATATAAAATAAATAAATAAATGCAACATATATGAACACATTCAGACCCTTACAGTCTCAGATGTTTCCAATCACAGAAAAAACTACAAGCAGCATACATTTAGGCCTTATTTGAGTTCAAAAACAACATGCAACAAACACCCTACAGTCAGTGCAAACCTCTCATCTGCATCTTTAATCATCACCAGCACATGTAACCTCTTGTTAAAAATTAATAGTTAAACATGGCAGTTTGTTCATGTTTTAGGTTGCTGATACAATCATTTGCTTTTTTTATTTGTCATTTGTCTCGCGTTTGTCTGTTTCGGAGAGGATCGGATGTTAAAAGAACTTCATTAATTACACGCACGTTATTATTGTCAACTCAAGTAGTTCGTCATTTCAAATATAGATGCGCAGCGAACGCACGCAAGAAAGCGAAACCGATCACGCTTTAGACAGCCTTGTAAAAAAACAACGGGGTACAGGGTATTCTGCTCTTCTTGGCTTTGTGGCTGTTTATCAAGACGATCACAAGGTTTGTTTGAGCTTGGGTCAAACATGGCTCGTTATTATTTGCCGGTTCCTTTGTTTTCATTCTCTTGGCTTGTTGCACGAGTGAGTGACGCATCTCTGTAAACCAATAGCATTCAGTTGTGCATCTAGCTCCGCCTTTTGGTACCCATTTGTTGTGCTAGGTACCCTTTGCAAAGGGTACCCAAAAAGTGGTTCGGTTCGCTTTTAGATACCTTTTGATAGTGGAAACAGCCATAAAACTGTACCGTACTCAGTGGAAATGGGTCATTTGGCATACAGCTAAGGCCCAGCTCAATGTGATACAATTGTAGTTTGCCAAACTGCACAAACATGATCCACATCACACTGTAAGATCCCAGTTTTCATAATTTTAGACAATGGCAATAATGCCTGCCAAACACAGACTTGCAAGAAAACTCATCCAAAGGTTGACGTTACACGTATCCTGTATTCTGAAATTATACCTCACAGCAAACATATGCAATCTGTGGTGAAAATTTAGCTCAAAGCAGGCCTTGATGATAAAACCAGTTTT